TTGTTTTTTCAGAATGGCTGAACCAATTCACAGCTCCACTAATACTTCATTAGTTTTCCTGAAAATATGTGCACATTCTTGTCCTTGAGGCCTTTGCTTCATTAGGATCATATTTTAACCAACTGGATAGCTGAGATAACTGACCACTCATAGGTACTTAATATAATTGGCACCAAACTCTTCTCAAAACAATAGCCTACCAAATGTTATATTTTTGACAAGGGGTGATCAGTGAAGCTTCAAAAGGTGGCTAATTTTTAAAAAGTGGCTAATTAACATTCACAGGTTATCTTGGGCCTAGAGAGAATCATCAATGGAGGATATTTTGAATTGTGTTTACTTAGTCACATTGGGATTATTTCTACAAAAAAACAAATGTGGATGAAAACTGGAGGAAAAAAAAAGATCCAGTCAGGCATCTAAATGCTTCCAGATATGTAAATATCCAATATTGTTAAGGTGCATTCAGATTTAGTGGGAAATGGCCCCCAAACTAATGATCAGACAACCTAATGTCATGAGAAAGCATGGAAAGTCTTCTGTTTCTTCCAATTATTTGCCTTTTTCATGCCATTACAGACTTAGCCACTACTATGTCAAGACAGCATGGCATAATGGAAAGAGCCATTGAATTGAAACCAAGAGGACCCAAATTGGAATCCTATCTCTGATACTTACTACTTGTGTGACTCTGGGCAAGTCACTTAACCACACCAAGCCTCAGTTTTCTCAACTATAAAATGGGAATAATAGCAACACCTACTAGACAATTGTTGTGAGGATCAAATTAGAGAATGCATGTTAAGATTTTTTTTCCCAACCTCTGAGCCACTGTATAAATGTGAGATATTATTATTATCTGTTGAGGATAGAGGATAAATTACAAAGTGAGATTTCATAGCTAAAACAAAAAAAAATTACTCCCTCAGTAAGATCATCCATTTTTTACAAGTTGAGAAAAAATCTCTCATCGAAGCAGACCAGTTCATGAGGCCCTGATCTCATTTAGCTAGCTATGAATTCATAGCTATATTATGTTCCTTCTTGGGAAAATAACAAAAAACTACCTCTCCCCTGAACATTGTAATCTTACAGCCCACATGTATAAGAATGCTAGCAAATAAAGACTCAAGTATAAGGTTAATGACTTGTTAATTATTGAGTAAGCAGCTTGCAGTTTAATAAAGCATGAGCCTTAAGTTCCCCCAATAGCTTTTTAATAAAGATTCTTCGAAACTTAACAATTAATTAAAATCTTAGAGGAAGATACAGGTGATGAGACTGTAAGGACTAAGCACTTTTAAGCTACTGAGATCAGCACAATGACAACGGTTCTGTGACAGAAAACTCAAGATCCTAAATAGATCAGAGAATCACAGAAAGTCATATTGTCCAACCCGCTGTCTGACCTTTGAAGCCCCTCCACAATATCCCTCAACAAGAAGGAAAACACAGAACTCTTGTTTTTATCTTCATATCCCAACCCCCTAGCACAGTACCTATCACACAGTCACTACTTAATAAATGCTCATTGATTTACTGATTGAAAAAGTGTTGATCCAGCCTTCACTTGAAAATAGTCCCAAGCAAACTTGGGCCATAGTAATTTCATAGCTCTAACCCATTCTTGAACTTGGGAATATAGAGTGCTGGTGTCCAAGAAAGTAAAAGGTTTATTGCTCAGACAATGGCAATCTAGGTGCCTATCAAAAATTTTCTGTTGGGGGGCGGAGCCAAGATGGCAGAGTGAAAGCAGTGACTTGCTTGAGCTCTCCCCCAAACCCCTCCAAATACTCATTAAAAAATGGCTCTAAACAAATTCTGAAGCAGCAGAACCCACAAAAAGACAGAGTGAAACAAATTTTCAGCCCAAGACAACCTGGATGATTGATCAGAAAGGTGTATTGCGCCGGGCTGGGAGCTGCAGCGTGGGTGCGCAGGCTGCAGTGAACCTGGAGCAGGCCTCAGAGGACTGAATCTCCGGCAGCTGTGGAGGTTTCCAGACTCCTCAATCCACGAATGCCAAAGACAACTGAGAAGGTCAGTGGGAAAAGTCTGTTTCTGTCAGTTCTGAGAAAGGAAGGCCGGGTCTCAGCTCCATTCCCCAAGAGCTTGGACCAAGGGGGGGGGGGGAGCTGCTTCCCGAGCTTCCGGCCCACAGACAGAGGGGCAATCCAGTGGCTGATCAGAAAGGGATTGCAGGGATCTCTTTGCCAGTGCTGAGGCAGGAATCTCTTGCTTTGCCTGTGTGTGGATCTGGGTCACAGTTCTGGGTGACGGTGCTGGGGTGAGGAGGAACGCTGGTGTGGTAGAGCTTGTAGTGGCTGTGCAGAGAAACCCCTCCTCACAGTTACAGGACAGAAAGGAGTACTTGTGGTCACAGGCCAGGAAAGGAGTAAACACCTCACCCCTTATCATACCACCTTGCAAGAACTGAAAATTTACAGGTCCCTACAAGTATCTCTGAAAACAGCTATACAAACCCCTGAAGCTTGGGACAGTACACTCTCCACATTGGAAGCAGACTCTTACCTTAACAAAGAGTTTAAAACTCAAGTAATTGGCTAGGATCCTGAGCAAGCAGCACAAAAAGAGTCAGACTATATTATCTTACTTTGGTGAAAAAGAAGATCAAAATATACAACCAGAAGAAGACAACAAAGTCAAAGCTCCTACATCCAAAGCCTCCAAGAAAAATATGAATCAGTCCCAGGCCTTGGAAGAGCTCAAAAGGGATTTTGAGAAGCAAGTAAGGGAAGTAGAGGAAAAACTGGGAAGAGAAATGAGAGTGATGCAAGAAAATCATGAAAAACAAGTCAACAGCTTGCTAAAGGAGACCCAAAAAAATACTGAAGAAAATAACACCTTAAAAAACAGCCTAACCCAAATGGCAAAAGAGGTCCAAAAAGCCAATGAGGAGAAAAATGCCCTAAAAAGAAAATTGGCCAAATGGAAAAGGAAGTCCAAAAGATTACTGAAGAAAATACTTCCTTAAAAATTAGAATAGAGCAATTGGAAGCTAGTGACTTTATGAGAAATCACACTGTAAAACAAATCCAAAAGAATGAAAAATTAGAAAACAATGTGAAATATCTCATTGGAAAAACAACTGACCTGGAAAATAGATCCAGAGAGAGAATTTAAAAATTATTGGACTATCTGAAAGCCATGATCAAAAAAAAGCCTAGACATCATCTTTCAAGAAATTATCAAGGAAAACTGCCCTGATATAGTAGAACCAGAGGGCAAAATAGAAATTGAAAGAATCCACAGATCTCCTCCTGAAAGAGATCCCCAAAGGAAAACTCCTAGGAATATTGTAGCCAAATTCCAGAGTTCCCAGGTCAAGGAGAAAATATTACAAGCTGCCAGAAGGAAACAATTCAAGTACTGTGGAAACACAATCAGGATAACACAAGATTTAGCAGCTTCTACATTAAAGGACCGCAGGGCATGGAATATAATATTCCGGAGGGCAAAGGAGATAGGATTACAACCAAGAATCACCTACCCAGCAAAACTGAGTATAATCCTTCAGGGGAAAAAATGGTCATTCAGTGAAATAGAGGACTTTCAAGCATTCCTGATGAAAAGACCAGAGCTGAATAGAAAATTTGACTTTCAAATACAGGACTCAGTGGAACATGAAGAGGTAAAGGAAAGAGAAATCATAAGTGACTTATTAAGATTGAACTGTTTACATTCCTGCATGTAAAGATGATATTTATAACTCATGAGACCTTTGTCAGTATTAGGGTAGTTGAAGGGGGAAAAAATTGTATGTATAGATAGATAGATAGATAGATAGATAGATAGATAGATAGATAGATAGATAGAGGGCACAGGGTGAGTTGAAGATTAAGGGGTCATATCTGGAGAATAAAATTAAGGGATGAGAGAGGATGATACTTGGAGAAGAAAGGGAGAGGTAGAATGGGGTAAATTATCTCACAAAAAAAAAACAGAAAAGAAAAGTCTCTCACAGTGGAGGGGAAACAGGGGAAGGTGAGAGGGAATGAGGGAATCTTATTCTCATAGGATTTGGCTTAAAGGGAGAATAACATACACATTCAATTGGGTATGGAAATCTGTCTTACCCTAAAGAAAAATAGGGGGAGAAGGGGACAAGAGAGCAGGGGGATGATAGAGAGGAGGGCAGATTGGGAAAGAGGGTAATCAGAAGCAAATACTTCTGAGGAGGGACAGGGTCAAAAGAAAGAATAGAATAAATGGGAGGGCAGGATAGGATTAAGGGAAATAGATTTAGTTTTTCACAACATGTCTACTATGGAAGTGTTTTACATAACTGCACATGTACAACCTATATTGAGTTGCTTGCCTTTTCAGTGAGGGTGGGTGGGGAGGGAGGAAGGGAGAAAATTTGGAACTCAAAGTTTTAAAAACACATGTTTTAAAAAACATGTTTTCACAGGCAACTAGGAAATAAGAAATACAGGAAATGGGGTACAGAAGTCTATCCTGCTGTACAGGAAAATAGAAGGGGAAGGGGATAAGAGAAGGGAAGGGGGAGAGATAGAAGAGAAGGCAGACTAGGGGAAGGGGTATTCAGAATGCATGCCATCTTGGGGTGGGGAGAGGGGTGAGAAATTTGGAACTCGAAAACTCGTGGAAGTGAATGTTGAAAACTAAAAATAAATAAATTTATATTTAAAAAAATTTTCTGTTTCTGTTGCCAGTGTTTCCTATTTTTTGCATAATATGAAGGAGCTGTGCTATTTATCTTGCATTTGTTTATGTAAGGCTTATATATTATGGCCACTGAATATTTGCTGTAAGTTGAAGAGGAAAGGAAATGGCAGCCTATGAAAAAAGAGAGATTTTAAAAATATATTTTGAAGGGAAAAGATTTTGTTCAAATGGGTTACCTCATAAGCTGATGCAACAAGAGAGACACTAGATATCTCTGAGTTCTTTGACATTTACTGTAATCTAAAGGGCAAAATACTTAGGACCTACTTATTTGGCCACTATCATTTCAGCCAAGAAGAATGAGTTCTTGTACCAATATCTGTGGGGCCAAACAAGCACAGAATACACCTGAGGGTGGATATCAACGCTATGGAGTCCGATCCTACTTGCATCAGTTTTATGAGGACTGTACAGCTTCCATTTGGGAGTATGAGGATGATTTTCAGATCCAGAGATCACCTAATAGGTGGAGCTCGGTTCTCTGGAAGGTAAGGGGGAAAATGTTGGAGTGCAAGTATGTGTGAGTGTGTATACATAGTTAGCTTAGTTAATGAAGGGAGAATTAGTAGGTAAAATATTTAATCCAGCTATAAAAATAAAGTCCAAATCTTTAGTCTTTCTCTGACTAAAGGCATGCTTCCTACTGACATTGAATGTACTCTTTTCTTATCTTAGAAAAAAATGTGTATGAAGCTCAGCCCTATAGATAAATAATACTTCAATACCCCCAAAAGATCTGTGATCTCATCCAGGTGGGTATGCCCTTCAATGATACAGGACTCAATCAATTAGACCCATCTATCCTATGGAACTCTGATCCAGGTCTTTGACATTGTTTTACATAGACTAATATTAGTTATGATTACTAACACTTTTAATATTCTGCAAGATCCTCTGAATGCATAGGTTAATCCCTAACTAAGCAAAGGAAACATTTTCAGGTATCAATTGCAGATGTGATTTTTGAAATAGTAACTGGAAAAAGTGAAGGAGCTAATGCATAGGGAGAGTAATGTGGTAGAAAGAACACTGGCTGAAAGTCAGCAAATGTAACTTTCCTCCTAGATCTGCTACTAGCTGATAGTCTGACGTTGGACAAGTTACTTCTCCTCCGGCCTTAGACTAGATGAGGTCTAAGGCTTCCCTTCCACTACTAACATCCTCCCACTTCCTAAAGTGCCTTACAACTCAATGTTGCTAAGCATTTGGACAATGGGGAACTCTGATGGATTATGTAATATTGTACCATTAAAAAATGTATTAGAAGACAGAACACAAAGTTACCTAATGTTTCTATAAATGAACTAAGAAAGTATTAGGTTAATAAGCTATAAACAAGATAGCACGGTTGTGTAAGACAGCAACAGTTAAAGGTGCCCTAAGATCCAAGGTTAACCAAAGAATTCATCTTGTCCAGCTGGCTTGACCCAGGCTCTATTTATTCAACCCTCACTGACCTGAGCCAATGAAAGAAGCAGGTGAAAGGCAGTGCAGCATAGGGAAGAGTGCTAAGCTGGTGCCCAGATCCTGGTATCAGCTCTGTCCCTCACCTACTATATGACCATACAGTGGAAAAGAACCTCATCTCTGGAATCAGAAAACTTACATTCAGATCCTGCTTCAGATGCCAACTACTTTTGTCACCTTGGACAAATCACTTAATCTCCTTGAGTATCATTTGTAAAATCAGAGGATTCTACTAGATGGCTTCTGAGGTCTGTTCTGGGTCAAATATTTTAAAATACTATGATGAGCTTCTATGTTTCTTATTTGACAAAAATCAAATTTTTGCCTGGCAGTAGCACATAACAAGTAAAATGTTACAAACATCTAAAGCACTTTAGGAATTGGTAATGTGAATGATGGTGAATGATGAGGCCATAAACTTATCAAGTGGTTTCTAGTGATAGAAAGACATCCCCACATAAATTTAATGGCCCTAGAATCCTGTATTTAACATGCCCTGCCTTTTATCGTAAGCAGCCAATGCTTGTGTCCAAGTCCTGAATTCATATTCTGGTTAGTATATTCCTTCTTCTTTCTTGATAAGGAGATAGTAGCTAAAGCTCTGGACTGGGAATTACAAAACCTCTGTCACCTACTGAGTTACTTAAGGATTCTAGCACTCGAGGTCTGCATCTCTACAGTAGAGATAAAATAACTAACCTCTGTTTGCCTCCTAGAGAAGAATTGAGAATGGATGAAAAAGCATTTATCAAGTGCTTTCAATAACTTCCAAAAGCATGTTATATGAATATTTGTATTATCATCCCTTCTCCCTTTTATCCGTCAATGTCTGTCTGTGACTGGAGCAACTAATATTTCTTTCCAGCCCACCCTCACTATGGCCAGGCCAGAGTGAGGATTCTTTTCTTATCTTTACGTGAGCTCAGCATGGCTTAGTTCTGTAGCCACAGACCCCACCTTTAATGCAAACCAGTTATTTTGCAGTTCAGCACTACTGGTCTTGGGGGGTCCCTAATAAGACTGTGGATTGTCTCAAATCTATCACCATAGCTAGAATTAAAATTTAAAGCATGTGCCCTGCCCTCCGATAGTAGGTTAGAAGCAGTGACTTCTGTACATGAAAACAATCCAGTGACAATACTAATGAGCTGCCCAACTATCATTCTAACCTGAGTGGCTTTCTCTTTCCTTTCTAGCACCATTCTTGCTTTTCTCACTTCCCCCAACTCTCTCCTGCCTCTTCTCTGTCAAAACAGCTGCCTTGCTCCTGCCATCCTCTCTCTTATTACACTGGCTGAAATTTATGAATGCCAGGGGCTAGTTCTAAGTAACTTTTATCATAGATGCAGTGCCTATATTTGGCACCTGTAAATTCAAAACCACATATAGCTCAACGAGATAATACATTTTCCTTTTTTAAGTGAACAGGAATGATGCCATCTTTGTATTTTGCCTTTTAACTTCTGAGAAAAGTTCCCAATGTGGATTTTTTGTTGTTGAAGTCCTATTCAGTTGAACAGCAAGTTACTTGGGGGGGAAATCTTCTACTTCTCATTACCCATACTCAGCAGTTTGGATTTTGTTGTCGTTAGTCATTTTCAGTTGTGACCAACTCTTCATGGTCTCATTTGATGCACAACAAAGATACTGGAGTGGTTTGCCATTTCCTTCTCCATCTCATTTGATAGATGAGGAAACTGAGGCAAACAGGGTTAAGTGATTTGCCCAGGGTCACACAGCTAGTAAGTGTCTGAGGCTGAACTTGAACTCAGGAAGATGAATAAGTCTTCCTAACTCCAGGTCTGGCACTCTATCCACTGTACAACCCAGTTGCCCTGCAATTTAGATTAGTCAACCACTATTTATTGAGCACTACTGTGTGCATAGCCCTATCCTTGGCACTATAGCTGGGTACAAGAGAAAAATAAGACATGGCCTACATTCTTAAAAAGCTTAGAATTTAATTGGGCACATTTCTATTACCTCATTTTTTGAGATCCTGACATTGATTAAATAAAAATAGAAGAACCAACAATGACCAACAGAGCCCAGATTATTGAGATACGGAACCTGATATCAGAGTTTTCCAGGAAATATCACAGCAGAGACATGATTAACTTTGGTTTCATTTTATATAAACTTCCAGTATCCTTCAGGAATGCTATCCATTTTTTTCAATTACAATCAGGAACTAGTCTTTAAAAATATAATTGTCAATTTTTAAAAATAAACAGAAAATTCTATTTTATTCAACAAACATATCATATTTTTAGGTATGATGACATATCACCCTCATATTAGAGTCTACATGTTCTGCTTAAAAAGGAAAATGAGAAGCACCACAGTATTGAAGCTAGGAAGACCTAGGTTCAAGTCCTGACTCTGACCCATACTAGCCATGTGGCTATGGGTAAATTATTTAACCTTTCAGTGCCTCATGCAACTAAGAATATAAATTATAGAACTGATTTAGTGAAGGGAGTTTCCACACTGGGATTATCTTACACCAATGAGGTAAACAGTACAGACACTCCTCTCAACACACACACACACACACACACACACACACATACACACATACACATGCACACACATAAGTTTCTGTTTCAAAAGAATGAACTTAGCCCATTTGTTTTTCTTATCCAAGATTAAAGGGGCTTTTTGAGGTGAAAAGATGTTCTACCTTTTCTTTCTAAATAAAGGTAGATTGGTACAATAGCAAAGGTGGACATATCCAAAAGGTGAATAACTAACTAACTCTATTCATTAGTGTTCTTTTCCAGGCCCTAGCACATATTTGCAGTTCTGTTAGCAATACAGTAATATAAGAGGTATATTTGCTGCAATATCTTCTATAGGTTGGGCTTAATTTGAAGCTCACATGAAATTTAGCTTTACTTCCCTTTTTGAACCTGAACCCTGTGTAGAAACTGAAGAATCATCTTCATCCTCAAAGCAATGTTTGATTGTAGAAATCAGATTGGTCTGGTGTTCTGGAGACTACTAGGTGGAGATCTAGAACCAGTTCTGCCACTAAGCAACCAAATGACCTTAGGAAAGTCTATTTCCCTGTAAGAGCCTCAGATAGCATAGAGAGCTGACAGACTCAGAATAAAGTTTTAAGTATATTTTCTTCTCTCTCTTTTTGTTTTTTTTTTTTGGGGGGGGACACCTGCTAATGTGGTACTTTTTTTTGCATGACTATTCGTATTTGTAATGGGTTTGTTTTTTCTTTCCTTCTCAATGGATGGAGGCATGGGAGAGGGAGGGAGAAAATTCAGAACTGAAAATAAAATTGAATTTTAAAATTCAAATAAATAAAATAATAGAGGGAATATGAACTAGGTTATCTCAAAAGTCCCTTTCTAGCTCTAACAGTCTATGATTGGGGGATTAGTTACAGTAAACTTAAAACAAAACAACAACAACAAAAAAGATGAACTCTCTTGAAGGCTGCAGATAGTATCCTTGCTGGACTTGAGAACAGCAGCTTGAAAATAAGTCTCTTTCTCCTTTATTAACTGAAAAACAAATTGGTCTTACCCAGTAGCTATGGGAAAGCTTCCAAGCCATGATTATATGAGAAAGATGATAAATAGTGACTATACCTGGCTCTTTGTGGAGTATCACTTTTTATTTTTTTTACTATGTGCTTAAGAATCATCAACAAATATGAGCACTTAAATATACAAAGAACAAAAAAGATGATTTTGATGATATGTATGAGATCATGTTAGATTCTATTTGTTTTATTTTTATATGTATGTTAATTTTAACATAGTCATAACAAAATTGTCATGGGTTGGGGGTTTTTTGTATGCATCCTTGTGTGTGTCTCCTTCTTAACTTCTTTTTTATTTTCTTTTCTCACCTTCTGTTGTTCCTGGTTGCGTCTTTCAATAGGTCGGACTCATCTCTGGCACAGTCTTCCTGATCTTAGGGTTGACCGTTCTGGCAGTGGGCTTTCTGGTGCCCCCCAAAATAGAAGCCTTTGGAGAGGGAGATTTTGTAATGGTGGATTCCCAGGCCATTCAGTTTAATGGAGCACTAGACATCTGTAAGCTGTCGGGAGCTGTTTTATTTTGTATTGGAGGAATGACCATGGCTGCGTGCCTATTGATGTCTGCTTTTGCAAAAAGCTACTCCAAAGAAGAAAAATACCTTCAGCAGAAGTTCAAAGAGAGAATAGCAGACATCAAAGCTCATGCCCAGCCCATCACAAAAGCTCCAGCCCCAGGGGAAACCAAGATACCAGTCACTTTGTCCAGAATTCATAACATCCAGCCTTTATCAGAAACCTGAAGCTTTATTCTGCCTCCCTTCTGTAATTTAGACATATCAGTTAAATGGGAGAACATCACCTTTGGTAATGGCAAGAATATGGCGTGTCACACACCAGTGGGCAGCAGCCACCGCCACCAGCTCTGAGGGAAAGCTGAGCAGAACTCAGAGCCATTTGTTTCAGGCTTCAGAACAACGCATACATTCCACTCTTTATGATGTGTTTTTCCCTTTACTAAACTGGGAGACCCCACAGAAATACTTTTTGACATCCTGTGACTTCATTGTCATTTTCTGTGTTCTTTGAAAGTGCTATACAATTTTAGACCAGCCTTACTAGTGGTCAACACCCAACCTAAGGATAATGTGGTCTGGTTTCATTTTTTTTATTTTTTCCTGCTTAGTACTGTTTTCAGTTCCATCCCTACCGAGTAGTATAAGATATTGTCAAGTACATTCATGGAGAAACTGGTTTTCCTTATTCTGACCTACAGCTTTACCTTTTAACTGTATTACTTAACATGAGGCTCCTCATATTAGACTCAAATTTATCACTCTCCCTTATGGATCCTATGTGCCCTTGGATTTCTTTGAGCAAAAATGATAAAAAAAAAAAATCACCCAGTTGAGGATCACTAGACAATATGAGCACAGTTGAATGAAAAATGAACAAATAAAAAACAGCACTTGAAGTAAGGAATCTGGAATTCTATTCCCTACTGCACCACTAATTCACTTGGGTGACTCTGGGCATTTCTCTAGGCCTCACTACAATTTATCTATGAAATGAGGGGAGTTGGACTAAATAATCTTTAAGGCCCTTTCCAGCTTTCAATTCTTTGATTATTGTACACCATATGTGATTTATCCTCCTCCTCTGGGGTTTGTTTCAATGTGTTTGTTCCTCAGACCAGTGTCATTCTTTCACACCTTGACTCATTGAAAGCCACAGATTTGAGGTTCATTGGTAACCTGTATCCTGTTATGTTCTATTGACAAGGTATCTCAATACTTGACTTTAACTTGATACTGAAAGAAGTTTATACAATGCTGTCATATTTTTATAAAGACTAAAGAAAGCCATCCTCAAATAAGAAATCTCTGTGAAGATACTAACCTGAAAAGGATTTTCCTTCACAGACAACAAATTTTATTTTCCTTGAAAGGAAGTCATCTCCTCCCTTTGCGCTTTAATTTAATCTGTGGATTTAAATTAGGCTGTGAAATGGAAGGTATGACCATGGTATCCTCTCAAAAATCCTCTCAAAAAAAAGCCAACTTATATTGCTATTTTTGAATGGATAAATAAAATATATGAATGAGCCGAATATAAATTGCATTGTCATTTCTTCAGCATCTGGCTTGCTTTCTCTGCCTGTTTTCTATTATGAGGATGAATAAGCGATGAATGAATAAGTAGATGGCTAAGTAGAAGAAGAAAGGTTCTAATAAGTATTTCTACGTATGCACTCTGTATTTTACACAGTTTAACATAAATTATAGGGAAAAAACAGTCAATATTTTTTAATTTCCAACATTGTGCCCAGTGGTATACAAAACACTAGGGATACAAAGATAAGAATGAAGCAGCGCCTGCTTTCCAAAAGCTTACATTCTAATAAGGGAGATGATAGGAAAGAAGGAAGGAAGGAAGGAAGGAAGGAAGGAAGGAAGGAAGGAAGGGAGGGAGGGAGGGAGGAAGGAAGGAAGGGAAGGAAAGTAGATAGATTTAATAAGCATTTTCTATGGGCAAGCTCTGTGCTTGGGGATACAAATAGAAAAAATAAGACAATCTTTTCTTTCAAAGAGCTCACATTCTAACTGGAGAAACAACACATATGAAAGGTTTCAACTGCATATCAGATGGTCCTATGGTCATTAGGGCACAGCAGCAAAGCAGATGGTAAAGCTTCTCCTTTAATGTCATTTTCACTGATAGAATGATAGTTTCTGCTATTTAACCATTTGACAGAGCCAAATATTTTCTCTGCAAGAACTTTCTTTTCTGGGTCTTCAGTAGCTGTGGCTGTCAACCAGCACCCACCCACTCTCCACTAGAATAATAGCTTCAGGCACTGGACTAGAAGCACTGCCCCTCCCAAGGCTCCTGAGCTCAGGGCTCTGGGCTGTCTCCTTCAGGGTCCAAAGGGCATATATAAATGTATACAATATATATGTATGTAAGTATATGTGTATGTACTATATATACCAAATGAAAATAAGGTACAGTAGTTTAGAGAAAGATGATACTAGATGCTAGGGTTATTAGGAAGAGCTTCATGTAGAAAGAAAATATTTGAGTTGATCCTTAAAGGAAACCAGAGATTCTAAGAGGCAGAAGGAAGAAGGGAGAGTATCCCAGGCATAAGTGACAATCCTCACAAATGTACATAAATTGAGGATGTAGTGTAGTGTGTGAGAAATAGTAAATAGGCCAGTATAGATGGAGAGACACAGAGTATATGAAGGAAACAAAGGTGTAAGATGACTGGAAAAGTTTGAAGGGACAAGGTTGTGAAGAGCATTTGTCATTTGACCATAGTGGTCATAGGATCATAGATTGAAAAGTAGAAGGGATATATTAGAGGGTATCTAGTCCAATCTATCTATCTAATTTATCTACCTAATCTAATAATTATTCAAGATAGATTAGATCATAGATTTAAAGCTAGAAGGGATACTAGAGGGCATCTGGTCTAATCTCTTCATTTTACAGATGAGAAAACCCGAGGCACGAGAGTCATATAGCTAGTAAGTATCTGAAGCAGGATTTGAACTCAAGTCTTCTGACATCAAGTCCAACATTTTACCCACTGTGCCACCTGTTTGGTAAGAGGGACCCACTGAAGTTTATTCATTAGTGGGGCTGGAGAAAGACATGGTCTGACATGAATTTTAGAAAAAAATCGCTTTGGTGACTTTGTGCAGGATAGGTTGGAGTGGAGTTCAAATGCAGTCTTAGATACTTACTAGTTGTGTGACCCTGGACAAATCACTTAACCCTGTTTGCCTCCATTTCCTCATCTGTAAAATGAGCTAGAGAAGGAAGTGGCAAACCACTCTAGAATCTTTGCCAAGAAAACCCCAAATGGGGTCACAATAAGTCAGACATTACTGAAACAACAACAACAACAACAACAACAACAACAACTGGCCAGATTGGGGGGGCATTCTTTCTGGCTTCTTTGCTACCTGACCTTCCCATAGAGATGTGTATTTTGACCAGAGCCTCTAAAATCTTGTAAAGATGCCCCTGGCACCTATAAAGGAGAGCCTATTTTGATTTGTTTTTCTTCCTTAATTCAATTCTTGTTCACTCTTAAGCCCCGTGGGATAGTATCTGACTTTGGATGCATTGGTGTACAGAGATTCAAGTAGGTGTAAAAAATGAGTCTTGTTCTAGCTGCCCAGGGTAAGAAAAAAGTATGATAAGCAATAGTTAGTTTAGAATAGTTCTAAAAATGGACAGTTACTATCTCAGCCTCTTGCTCTGTATAGAGATTTCACTGGGCTGTGTGTTTGTAAAGATACTGACAATGCCAGAAGATGTTTGTGATATCATTGCCCAAAAGGAGGTACAGAAAGGATGTAAGGAGGGTGAAAACATACAGAGGTTCTAAATAAACATGATGGCCAAACAAAACCAGAGACTGGTTACTGATGGAGTTGCAGCATTTACTGCTATTATTTTTTAAGCCAGTAACACTGAATTAGGGAGATACGTGTTTCAATATTCCAGAAGAGTATTTTCTAATTTCTCACCTACTCTGTTGCCAATAGTCCAGTTATCCCAGGGCCTTTCAAATAAATCAAAACAGGACTAAGCATAGACATGGTAAGGAAAGAAGTAAGGGTACAATCGGAGGAACTGAGGATCTGGGATCTGGTCTGAAAATCACTGAGTCATTGAATCTCTGTCAGACTCTGTCTGAGGCTTTTAAGCATTATGCCAAGCACAATGAAATCAACTTCACCACCTCTCTTGTAGACCTAAAACCACTCTCCTAATTTAACTGCAACTTCCTTACATCTTATGACTTTGTTTATAATGAGAATAATGTTTATATACTTACTTTACTTCTCTAATAGTATATCAAAACTCAATGGTCATTGGGCAAGGATCTTGCCTTAAGAGTGACAACAGTAATTTAATATTTATAGGATATGGATATGAACTAAACTTAAACTAAGCTAAATTAAAATGATCTCACCTATGTAAGGAACTCCCAGATGAGGAAATTTCCTCCACCCAATGCAAGTGGGCACCTTCTCTGCAACTTGGAAAGCACTGAGGGATTAAGTGACTTGCTTAGGATAACAAAGCCCACATGTATGGACTTGAGCCCAAGGATTTTTAGATCCAAGACCTCCTCTATCTGCTATCCCAGCACTGCTTCTGTTTATTGAAAGTCAAAAAACTTTGTGATTCTTTGCATCCCCTGCCTCTTTTTTCATCAATTTACCACTGTCACTGCCAGAGCAGAAAGGGACCACATAGAATTGGGGGATATTTTGTATTCTCCTTTGTTTCATAGTTCACCATAGCCAACAAATTCATCATTTAATCCCACCCACCCAGTGATGAGGCTCTCTCTACTTTAGCTAAGCTCAGCCAAGTCATCAAGCACAGTCCACCCTGAGGTGTGTACTCAAAGTCTTTCCAGCTTGATAGAATGTCAGAGCTTATGCTTCCTCGGTGTAGTTTTCTTTTTTTCCTTTTCTTTTCCTTTATTTTATAGAATAAAATGAGCATTTCCATAACATAGTATAACCAAAAAAAGACTGCATATAAAACAACTTGCTATTCCTTTTAAATATGTAATAAAGTTATCGTGTACATTTCTTTTTTCTTCTTCCTACCTTCCTCCCCCTACCCTAGAGATGGCTACCATTGGACACGAATAGATATATCGATATAGATATAGATATACACACACATATATATACACATACATATACGTAAAATCATTCTATATATACTTCTATTTATCAGTTCTTTCTCTGGATGCAGGTACCGTCTTCTTTCATAGGTCTTTTGTAGTTAATTTAGGTATTTATAATAGTCAAAATCACTTATTTGTTCAAAATTGTTCTTAAAACAATATTAGCATAGTTTTCAAGGACCCAGGATCATCTCCATTGCCCTATAATCATAATCCATCACAGCAGCATTACTCCATGGAGGACGATCACCAAGAATATGCCTGGTTTTAAAAGCAAAAACACATCTACAACCAGACTAAGAAAAAAGGCAAGTTATACTGAAGCATAGATACTCCAATCTGTTACATTCCTGGCATTTACAGATTGCAAGAAAGTTCAAACCCATTCATGTTTCTCTGTAGCTTCCTGTCTACCTTTAGAATTCCTCAAGTTTTAATGAAGTTTAATTGTATGTGGAGTTTCATTAAAAGTATATACATTGATCTTCACAATGTATCAATTAAGTAAGAATATGTGTAAGGCTTGGGAGTGGAAAAAATGATTTGAAAAAATTAATTAAAATTATTTTAAATGCTAATTATTAAAAACATTTCATTTTTTTTCCTTTTGGCCTGAAGTTTAAATACTTCCCAGGGAGTGACCAGTACCTGGGATCTTTGAAGGGATATTTCCTTCTTGTAATGGCAGCAACCCCATCTTATTGGCAAGATCAAATTGTCATAGGGCAAAATTACAGGAGGAAGGTAAAGGAATTGCGAAGTGGTATAGGATGACAGCTTCGGCAAACACTAGCATCTCACCCATGACCCCAACTCCATTCTACACTACAATGTATAGTATTATGGAAAATGGAATGATACGGAATTAAAGTGTAGGCTATATACTCTAGCATGGATTGATTCATAACTAGGGAGGGGGAGTACAGCATGACCTATAGCTTTAGGGATCCCCATTTTTTTTCTTTCATAAACCATTCTTTGAATAGCATATTCTATTATTTTGCCCAGGATAGAAGTTAACGTCATCAGTCTATAATCTGAAAGCTGCTTTCTCCTTTTTTTTTTCTTCTTGCCCAAAATAAAAATCAGACCTGTGATTTAAAATGGTTAAACTAGCAAGATTGGCAGAAGATATTAGAGAAAGGAGAAGTTAGTGGAAATGAATCCAATTAGGAAGCTATTATAATAGTCCAAATGTAGAGTATTGGTTCGGGAAGTTCCTTGATCAACTTGATGAGGGCACAGGAAGATGAGCCTTTAGGGGGAATTTTGATTGTACCTCATAGGAATATGGGCCATATTCATTGTTCATCTCCTTAGAGGATTGAGGACATATCCTAGTATTGGTGATGACTGCTGCCTCCAGCTCTTATGATATG